CATTTTTGGGCTTTCTTTTATAAAAAAAAAATTGTGTGAGGGTGGGCTTGGGCCCTTATGGCTGGCCATCCTCCCCCCATTTCCCTCCCTAAACCCACATATAAATACTTTCATTTTCCCTTTAATCCTCATAATTTCTCATTCAAATTCCAAAAACCCTCTCCTCTCTCTCTCCTTAAACCCAAGAGTCTCTTTGAAGATCATCCACTTCTCCATCCTCATTTCAGCCGATTTTCATTATAATCTTCATCATCTTGGCAAGTTTTTGAAGCTTCAACAATAATCTCAAACAATACAAGGTAATACCTTCATTCCTTTTACTTTTTTTTGTATGTTTTGGGGAGAAAAACCCATTTTATTGCATTCTTTATCATCTTTTCTTCATGTTTCAAAAATCTTGAGTTTCAAGGTGAGATTATACACCAAAAACATGTAAAAGTGTTTATTTGATGGTGGTAATCCATGACCCAAACGTTATAACTCAAATAGGTAGGAAGAAATCGTGATTTTATGTGGTTATTTCATAAAAACTAAAATTCTGGTGCTGTCAGATTCTGTTTATACGCACAAACTAGTCCATATCTTTTAATTGGTTTGTTCAAACGTTWTKAKGYTTCCTTTAAAAGTTTATTTACTGAGTTGGGGTTGCATTKCATTTGGTCTCACTCAAAATCATTGAGTTTTGACCCCCCAAATGCTCAAAACACTATAGCTACGCATATGAGATTTTTCAGTAAGTAAATCCTACTTTGAATGGTCATAACTTTCTGGTTAATCATCCAAATTTGTTGATTTTTCTTTTGGATGTTAGTTTAAGAAAATATCTTTCAAATGCCACTGATTTCACTCAAAATTGTGGTGATTTGAGGTTTCATTTTCTTAAATTAAGATGAACATGCAATCTGTCCAATTTTGACAGATTCGTATATGTGTGTTACATCGACCTTATCTCTCTCATAACTCAATGAAAAAGGATGAATCTTCTTTTGAGAGTTAACCTTATGGATTGTCTTTCATATGAAAGTGGAATCACATAAATTTATAGAGTTTTGACCTCCAAGCACCTTAAACTCTATAGGTGTGTAAAATGTGAATCCACCAGTAGGTAACCTTTACTTTGTGTGTTAATATTTTTCTACTTATTTGTCCTTAATGTGTGATTCTTCTTCTAAAACTTTCTTTTATGAGTTACGGTTCATTTGAATCCAGTCTCACTCAAAAATAC